TTACATAAGTTCTAGAGATGTGCTGTATAACACTGCCTATAGCCAAGAGCCCTGCATGATCCTCCAACAATTTTATTGTGACTGTATCTCTTTGAGGCCAGTGCTGTGACATAGTGTGTCAAACTACCACTTGCAGCTACCCACTATGAGTGATGGGCTCAGGTGCCAGTTGTTCTACTTGCCATCCAGCTGATGAGCACAGGAAAAGTAGCTGGAAGATGGTACAAAGGCTTGGGGCTCCATCACGCACAGGGGAAGGGGAGACCTAGATGAAGTTCCTAGCTCTAAGCTTTGGTCTGGCCCAGTGCTGGCCATTGCAGACATTTGAGGAATGGACTGATAGATGGAAGATCTTTCTCTTTCTCTCTGCCTCTACCTCTCTCTATATAACTCTGCCTTTCAAATAAACAAATACATATCTCACAATGAATAAGAAATCAAAAAGACATGGATGCATTTTTAGCATCATGCATGGCCTAATCCAAACCCCACAACTTAATATTAACCAACAAACTTACATCTATCTGAAATAACTGCGTCATCAGAGAAAGGTGACACTCCCTGACTTAATCCCCCCCAGAAGCTGACTCTGACACCTAAATACAAGATGAGCATCTAGCTGCCTGCTTTCTAAGGGAACTCCTGAGGGTAGGGCTCCCTAAAATCCTGCATCTTCTGAGGCCCAAACAGTGCTTGCATGTGGCAGGAGCACATTAAATATTTGCAGAAAGAGGGAATATATGCATGAGTACTGCAGCCTAGGGAAAGAGGATCTGAGCCCAGGGTGTGGGGTGTGTCACATGTCACCAGTCCTGTTTGCAACAGGTAAGCTGGCACTGCAGGCCAATGCTAACAGCCACAGCAGGTCCTCAGGTGAGAATGGTGTTTCCTGACTACTCTCCCAGCCACCAACACGCAAGACAAATCTCACAGACCCACATCCTCTAGCACAGTAAGACGGTAGACCAGAAGGAAAGACGAGTAGGTTACAGCCAGGGAAGACACTGAAGAGTGACAATTGTCTTCCAATGCATTTTCTGCATTTGACAATTCTACCAGCCAAGTCGCCCAACCCTCTTTGTCCGCATTCTAATCCTGTATGCAGAAAGCTGCTTCCTAATGTGTAATTTCGACTCTGGAATGGGTTAGCCCAGCAACAAATGTGTGGTTCCTGTGCAGATGAATGAGGCACATAATTCTGGGCCTTCTCTCTCCCAAGAAAGTAAGCTACAGCCCAGGTCTGCAAACAGCTGCCTCTGTGTGCCAGTGCTCTGCTGGGCTTGCGGTAACCACACTACTGGCCCCTGAGGATCGCATTCCCCTGTTTACAACAACAACCACTGCACTCTTCCTGCTGTCCTCGCTGCTCAAGGCTCTGCCCTTTCCTACAAAGAAGGGAGCACAGGTGTTTGGAAGCCCGAATGCTGGGAACAAAGCAGCTTGAGTCCCCACAACAGAACCAGTAATCCAGATGGGAACTCTGAGCAAAGTACTTGCCACCACAAGATAACAAACAACAATAATTAGGTCCTTTCCGGCAAATGGAATACTGTTGTCATTGAGATTTTTATTATCTGTATGCTTTACATAGATGAAATCGCCTCCAGCTGCTCTAACTTGGGAGCAATATGGAGAGTAGCAGTAATAATCGTGAATTAAACCCACAAAGAAGACTCTGTGTCAGGGAGGGCATGGTGTGGGTTCCACCAGCACCCAGCATCGGGGCAGGTGTGGGCTCCAGAGATTCTGTTCCAGTCCGTGTGAGGCAGCCCTTGGATCCCAAGGATCAGGGTGGGTTCAGGCAGCACTTACATCATGTTCTATCACCTGCCTCCCAAATACCACATGCCCTGAAAATTACCCGAGAGATGTGGGTAATTCCTGCCCTCTCTTTGAATGAGTATCAAAGTCATTACCCTTGCTGATAAACTAGCCCAGATTCCTCCACTTTGGAATTCACCTGGCTGTGCGAGATGATTCTTTTGAAGTGCTGCTGTTCCACAAATATTATAAAGAAAACTGCACTCTTTGCTGACCAAGCCGAGCACTTTGAAGGGAAGAAAGCCTCCTTAGGCTTGGGTATTACCCTCTGCAGTGTCCCTCCCTGCTCTGTGAACTTGAGCATCTGATGTGAAGTTTCATTCATCCAGCAAGCCCTAGGGAGACATTTCCAATTCTAGGCCATGCAGGTGAATGGTGCTGATGGCAGGGATTCATCCATGCAAACTCCCCTTTGCCACATTGGTGGCTTTTTTTTTTTAAAATAGCAGCTTTAATACCTTGCTGGAAATCTGCAGGGCAGGTCTTCCATTACACCCTGAATATAGGGCATACAGGCAGATACATTAGGGATGCCCCAGGGCGCCATCCCTGAATATCCTAATGTAGTGACAGCAGAGGTAGCAGCAAAAAATCCTGACAGAGCAGCCTAGGGGTCTAGGGATCAGGAAGACCACCTGTGGGGAGCTCTTTGCCATTGTGTGGGTCCTTAGCTGCCCTTGGGGGAACTCAAAGCGCTGTATCCACTGCACCTGTGCTAACCTCCTAAGTGGGAGACACAGCATCTTCAGACCTGTTTTTCTGCTGCACTGAAGAGTTCACTTTTGCTCTTGTGTGTGCAATTTCTTTTCAGGGTGCAGGATTCTCTACGAGCCACCAAATTTCACTTCCTCTCTGCTTTATTTAACTGAAGTCCTAAGCACCTACTCAACCCTTAAAATAGCCAGAAATTTCATATATATATATCTATATATATATATATATATATATTTTTTTTTTTCGCCGGGGTGGGGGTGTGCAGCACAATGGCTAAATCCTTACTTTGTAAGCAAGCACTGGCACCCCATAAGGGCCGGTTTCTGTCCCAGATGGCTCTACTTCCCATCCAGCTCCCTACTTATAGCCTGGGAAAGCAATAGAGAATGGCCCAAAACCTTGGGACCCTACAACTCCATGGAATACACAGAAGAAGCTTCTGCTCTGAGCTTTGGATAGGCTCAGCTCTGGCCATTATGGCCATTTGGGGCGTGAACCAGAGGATGGAAAATCTTCTGTCTCTCCTTCTCTCTGTAAATCAGATGTGCTTTTCCAATAAAAATAAATAAATCCTTACTGGTGCAAACAAAATTAGAGTGGGTGAGGGTTGTTTGGGCTTAGCCACAGCATCAGCTGGAAGAAGCTGGCACTGGGGGCTAGTTCTGTCAAGTCAAACCACAGAACTACTTGGAGAGTGCATAATCTGGGAGTGGGAGAGGCCTGGGAGGGAAATAATGGGCTCCTCCCTCTTGGGTTACCACTTCCACGGGAGGGCACGAAAACTAGGACAGGGGCTGGGGTGGAATGGGGTGTGGGACAGACTGGACTACTGCTACACATACAGGCAAACCAGAGTAGGGGGCGGGCCTGGTGGGGTTATTGTGGGTCGCTCTCACGAGGTTGCAGCTCCCTCTTTTTTATGCGAGGGCCGAGTATGTGCTGGGCAGAACCAGGCTGGACTGCAACACCCATTGGTTCCAGTGGAAGTCGGGAGTGAAAACAGAACCAACCCAGCGATTGCAACCACCAGCTGATTGGGGCAATGGACTGTGCCTGGCCCTGTACTTGCTAGCACATACAAGAATCTGGTTTGAGAACACCTCAGACAAAGTATCTTTGGAAATCTCCCCAACAGAAATGCTGGTCTCAGAACCCTAACCAAGAAAAGAGAGAAGATAGAACAGGTCAACCAACCAACTCAGCTATATGTTGGCATCGACATACAAGGCATACGGAGACTCTATGATGGACTATGTCAATCAGTGGATTCTTCAAAGACCTCATTGTGCTTGGAGTGACAAGATTGGCAGCGATTCATAACTGCTGAAATATCAAAACCACTTGAGCAACAACCTCAGAGCATGCCCTACATCCGGGACCTGGGGAGGGTGGGAAATTGGATGGGCCTTCTCCCTTAATACCCCCCTTTAAACATGAAGGAAATAGTATGGAAAAAATAATAGTCTTACCCACTTTCCTATAGCCCTTGAACCTTTTTACCCCAATTAACTATGTAAAGATTGTCAAAATATAATAAAAATAAATTAAATAATCTTTAAAATAAATAAATGAATAGATAAATAAATCTGCCATGGAAATCCTACTGGATCCCTCCCCATACACATGTTTTGTTTCCTGGCATGTTGATTTCTACGAATAAGATGACACCAGCAAAGAGTCTTTTAGTCTCACTTCAAATGCCCGTGTCCCAGAGAGTCCTCATCCCTTTGGGATCACTGCAAACAAGAAGTGACAAGTGTCAATGCAAGACAAAAGCTAACTACTCTGTCTCTGCTCATCTTAACAGACAGTTACCCTCCATGATTCTTATATCCACCATCTCCCTTTCGGAACAGGAAGTAAATGTTGGCTCTCCACTGCCTGAGGGGCTTCCGTTTTACCAAGACTCATGACTCTAGGAGCCCACGAGATCCTTTCAACATACACAAGGCAGGTCTACCTGAGCCTGCCCCGAAGTGACAGGGAGGAGAGGCAGAAGGCTATTGCTAATACACAAGTTGCTGCTTCCTTTACCTCCAGGTGTAGCCAGGCCTTGAGCTAGCCCAGACATAAGGCCCTGGGTACTCCCACACCAGAGCACGTGAGCCTGTGTGCTCGCGCCTCCCTGAGATCTGCGGTCTTACTGAGTTCCTAAGATATAAAAAGTGAGAGAAGCATCTGAGTGATCCTCTGGGAGTCCCAGCAGGATCAGCTCTGACATTCCCCTAGTCCGCTCATGTCTACACAGCCGATTTCTCTGTTCTTATCGAGCCCTGGTATCTCATTCCCCAACGTCCACTCTCTGCCAAATGAGATTATCAGCAGCACTAAGAGAGTTTGACTCTTTCTTGCAGTTTCTCTGCATCAAGGTGCATGCTCAGGGAGCAGACATCCCATGAGGTGTTCCCACCATACGGACCCCTGCTTGGCCCCTTCCCCACCACACGTGCCCGCCAGGATCTTACCGGCTGCCCTGTGTAGTGACTTCTTCTCCACTGCCCTACTCTCCTTCCTGGAGTCTGACGGGGGGATGAGTTTCTCTGTTTCTCCGGGGCTGGCTTCCAGAGGCGCAGGTGGATGCGGGAGTGTGAAACTCTGCAGAAGCGGCTTTCTGGGCAGAGGTGGCTTGGAGCTGAGCTGCTCCGGGGACCGGGCCTTCACCTTGCCTTGGTCGCTGGGGGACCTGGCACCTCGAAGCACAGGGGCTGCCCCTTGGGGAGCTTTCTCATCTTTGGGGAGCAGCGTCAGCCCTCCTCTTTCCAGTCGGACCTCGGCACTGTACCGCTTGATCCCCTTGGCTTCCTGGGAAGAGCCTTCTTTGTATTTGAAAGACAGAGAGGTGGACCTCAGCTTCACTGGGAAGGGGTTTCTGTCCTCAGCTGGGGCTAGCTCCTGAGCAGCTGGGCAGGGCTCTCTCGTGCTGGGTGTGATGGACACTGCCTCCTGTGGGCTCCCACCCTGTCCAGCCTGACTGGCTGCTGTGTCGCCAGAGTCCTGGAGGTCACAGACTGGTGGCTTCACAGGGTCCAGCTTCACGATCTGGGGTTCAGGAAGCAACTGGAGGTCATCGAGAGCTGCCTCGCTCCGCCAGGCCAGGCCGCTCTTCAGCAGGGGCAGGCGCATACTGGAGGGGCCAGTGGGACCAGGATGTTCCGGCAGCCGGGAGCCACCTGCCTGAGGCCGCGCCCTGCACGAGGACACGGAGAACTTCTTCACGCTCCGCAGCTCGCTGATGCCACGGCCTCTGCCACTGCCTCTCTCGGTTTTCCGCTCAGGCACTGCCTTCTGGGGACCCTCTCGTGGAGACTCGGCCTGCTCAGTCTTGGGATGTTCCAGGGGAATTACCTCTCTGTCAGGGACACAGAGAGGAGTCTCTGCTAGGGGGGACTCCATAGAGGCAGGCGCAGGGGGCCCACTGAGGTCCATGCTCACGGCTGAGGCCTTGTGCTTCAGGCAGCTCTTGGGCATTGGTGGGCTTGGGGAGGGTGCTGCGGTAGTGTCTTGCTCAGCCTGTTCAGGCCCATGCACTTTCAGTGTGGGTTCTGCTTCCTTTGGGATGTTTCTGTCTGGCTCCTCCAGCTCAGATGCTGGCTCTGAGGTGGAGATAGTGGCGGTGATGGTCTCAGGAGGTTTTGTGTCTCCCTCAGGGCAGTGGGCAGCTAATGGGCTTTCCACGTCTCCAGTATACACTACCTCTTCTGCACACATGGCTTCCTCTGCTGTATCCACAGCCGGGAGAGCTGGGGCGGTGGCAGGCAGCACTTCCTCCTGATCTGCACTATTGGGCCTGGGGTGTACAGCGTCATCAGGCAGACACGGGGTCTCCAAGCAGGGAGCTGGGTCTGATGCAGGTTCACTGACCTCTGGGGTTGTCGGGAGGCTTAAGGGTTCATCTGCAGGGGGGAGCCCTTCCTCCACACTGGCACTGAGTGCTGGGGAGTGCTGTAGGCGCCCGCGCCTGGCACGGGGCCCTCCAGGATGCAGCAAGGTAGCCAGAGGCCTGGGCTCAGGGCCTCTGTCTGGGACCCAGTCCTGGGTCCCTTCCATTTGGATCTGGGGCAGTGGCTTCTCCTCGTATTCCTCCTCCTCGGGTGTGCAGGTCAGGTCACTCAGGGACTCAGACTGTGCCCGCTAAGAGAAACAAAGAAAAGACATCAGCACTGCTATGAAAACAAGAAGCCAATGACCTCCCTGCTTTCTTCCAGGCTCCAGAGTGTTTCGGGAAAGCATCCAAGCTGGACATTCACACACAGGTGTCTTGTCTACATCTCTCCCTTACTGGTCTGCCAGGACTACTGACTCACAAAGTCAGTAGCACAACAGCAGCTACATCCCCAAAACAAAATTTCCCCTCTGACTGTGGGACTGAGCTGCCAAACCAGCAGACAGAACCGAGTGGAGGCAAGGGGACTGACGTCAGACACACATCTGCCAGGCCTCCTGCTCTAACACTTGTGATCTCACTCAACTGAGGAAGATAGGGGCCAGCACTCCCTCTTTTTGCACTTGGAGAGAGCTAAGGGTGCAGAGGTCAAGGCTGAACCAACAGGTTGCCCAGCTGAACAGCTGTGCTCTATGTGCCTCGGCAGGGACGCACCCTCACGTGGCCTGGCCTTCCTAAAAGACAATTCATGTCATGGCAAACATGGCCAATGACGGCCTATAGAACACAATCTGACATCTATGGCTAATAAAGTCCTGTGTTCTCGAGGCTTAAGCTGTTTGTTCTGCTCCACAATGAGGTCAAATCAAGCCTCCACCATGACCCTAGAAGCTGGGCCTGAGTGCCTGTCGGCCTCCCCACCTCACCCCACCCCACCACCATGAACCTGCTAGCACCCTGTGCTCCACTAGCACTGCCCCCCAAGCCCCAGAACTTGCTCCAAATTCTGCCTCCTGCTGCCTTAGCTTACGCCCTCCCTTCCCTGGCCTCCCAAAGCCCGGCTGGCCTTGAGGCATTCTTCAGAAAGGTTCCTGGACTCTAGTCCAGCTTCCTCCTCCTTGTCCCAAAGTCAGTCCCAGCTCCCCTGGAGAGACACGGGACACCAAGGTAATCACATATTTATCAAAAGCAGTATGTGAAAATGGCCAAAAGGATGAGAGGGATTAAGGCTGATCTTTTTCTAAAGTTCATGACCTCAGACTTCTCCAGTCATCCAGGCCATTGCATAATCACCTTTTTCGTCTCCCTTTTCTCAAAAGCAGGAAGCAAGACTCTCCATGGCGTGTTTGCGATAGGTTTAGTTGCTACTCTATTATTTTAACATTTTTACCTGGCATCTGCTTGCTTACAGAACAACCAGGTGACTGTGAAAACAACACCTAAGCCAACTCCTGCCCAAACACACAGTTTTGTTCTTTAGGATTTGAAAAGAGGAAGAGGTGTCAAGAAATCAATAGAGGGAATGTTCTAAAGCTGTGGATTTTCAACTTTGCCATGACACGGGCATTTTGCTACTGCAGGGAAATGTGGAGAGTTCTTCAGATGCAGGTTACATGTTAAAACGAAGGATTTGAGATCCCAGAACAAGTGAGTGGGAAGCTGGGGAGAAGGTCTAGCTCGGCTGCATCCTGACTGAGGCACTGGCAGCTGGAGGAGGTGGTCATGAGACCAGGCTGGATGGAAGAATGGCTGGCTGGTGAACTGTGGGCACTCGACTGCTAGACTGTACATGTTGGTGAGCAGGAGTACCAGGGCTGGGTGAGTGCCAAGCTTGACAAGGTGGCAGCAACTGTTGGCATAGGTGAGACCTGTCTGTGGGTAGATCTGCCTGAGCTAAGTTGCAACACCTGTAGGTGCGTAAAAACGTATGAACAGTCATTTCCCCCTAGTTCTTAAGACTCAGGCTCCAGATGATGTGGCAGCATGTACCTCACCCACCGGTACATAGCCAGAGATTACCTGGCCTGGCAAGGACAGCTGTGCTGTCCAAACAGAGGGATGCAAGGGGACCCTGAAGACGTGTGGGGGCTGAGGGGTGAGGCAGCAGGAGAAGGAGAAAAAAGCTCCCGTGCTGTGAGAGATCAGAATTGCAGGGAGAAGCATGAGGCACTGCTCAGTTAAGGCCAGAGGTGTGGCCAGGCCCGGGGTACGTGGGCAGCAGCTGGAGCAACATGCCCTTCCTTCCCTCACCTGGAGCAGTAAGCGAGCTGGAAGCTCCCTGATTCCTGACAGGGGCTGGGCAAAGGGGAGGTCCTGATAGTTGGGAAGCAGTCTAATGAGCAAGGGGCAGAGGGGGCTGTGGAAGCTAAAGGACAGAGGTTTTCTGCTTACAATCCAAGAGAGGATGGAGGGACAGTGATGCTTCAATCCAGGTAGGAACATATGGACAGCTCTGGTAACTTACCATACCCATGCTTGCTCCAATTCAAACAAGTAGGGCCAAGAAGGGTGGGGACAGACACGGAAGTGGCAGGGTTGGAATCAAGCAATGAATATGTGTGTATGTTTATCTAATTGACTACATCATATTTCCTGTTTGTCCACAAAATGGGGTTTCAAGAATGAAGTTCAAAAGCCAACAAAGACAGCTACAGTTTCGCCCTGGATAGTAAGGGGAAAGATTGTAGCAGGGGCTCCTGGCCAGGCTGTAGCTGGTGGCACATGCCCCTACCACAGCAGAAGACCTCCCAAGAAGATAAAATGCAGACAGGAGAGCCAGAAGGGGCTGGCTTACAGCCGTTGCTCCGCTCAGAACAAGGATGGGAGTTAACTAGGCCTTGTTCCGCTCCCCCAGAACGCAGCCCTAACCAGTTACCAGCTGGTATGAGTTTGCAAAAAGCCCCTTCCATGTACCCAAGGGAAAACTCCCCCTCATCAAGGAGTCCCTGGAATCTTGAGTGGACACGGTCACAGTCAGTGTCTGTGCCTGATGCCTCTCCTGGGTGCTGCATCTACATCCCAGTATCACACTGAAGGGAAGGAGGGAGACAAAGATGTTGGCCTGGGGGGCTTAATCTTTCGTGCCTAAGTTGATCCCACACCTTTTTCCTCACTTTCTCCAGAGCTGAAGGCTCACAGGCCCCACCAGGCAGGGAGGTGGTAAGGGTCCCATACACACTTCAAAGCCACAGAGTGCATGAGACCCCAGGGAGGGTAGAGAGGCCAGGTAGGGCTGGGCCAGAGGTGCCGAGTCAGCTGTGCAATTACCGAAGACAGCCGCCTCATCTTACTGGAGCGCTGGTTCCGGGGCTTTACCAGGAGCTTGTGCTTGGCCGCAGAGTTGTCCAGGCAGGAGGAGGACTCTGGAGGGTAACTGAAGTCAGCCACGGGGGCCAGGCTGCTGTCCGAGGTCCGGGAGGAGATGGCGGCATCGTTCGCATGGTCTGGAGATGGTGGCCGGGATGAGGAGACGAAGGACACCTTTGGTGGGACAAGGAGCAAATGCAGCAAGCATTAGCTTCCAGCCTTAAAGTGGAAGTGGGAAGTGCCAACCTGTGCACCCTCTCCTCTCATCATGCTTGGTGCCCCCATGCTGTCTGAGCGTTCTGTGGGATGACGCTTGCATGTCTCCCCTGACTCTCCACCGGGCAGGCTGCAGGGCATGTCCTCCCTGAGAGAGCTAAGCGGCTGGGGGTTGAAAGTGTGGAGCCCACCCGTGCAGATCTGGCACTCCTCTCTGAGGCCATGGAACTTGGGTCCAGGCTCCCTTGCAGGGCACCCCTGCCATCACCATTCTTACAAGATCCGGCACAGCACTTTAGACAAAAGGGTGACTTTCTCTGATGAAAGGGACCAGCCCTATTTCTGCAAGAGTAGAGTCACCTGTGCCTGTCTCTGGAAACCCAAGAGTATAGACAGGGGGTGGGATTTTAAGAGCTGGAGCCCACCACTTGGCATTCCACCATGGGAGTTGTGTTCATTCTAGAAGGTCTCTCACTCATTCTCTGGGTGATTGGCTTTGAGTCTCTATCTGTTAAGTGTTTCTACTTTAGACCTTAGCTGGGAGGCACTGACAGTCAGCAGAGAGAAAACATGTCCCAAGGAAGAAAAGGGATGCTGGCAGCTGTGGGCAACATTTTGAGACACTCCTTTCAGCGAGTGCGCTCCGAGAGGACTCAGCATCTGCCACTGAGGTCCAGGAGAATGTGTAGTCCAGGGCAGTGGCCTGGATACACAGGACAGAACCTGGGAGATGCTGGGCTCTGGTTTAACCAAAATCAAGCAACCAACAATCTATCTGACCAACCTTTCCATTCAAGCACAGTGCTCGGAATTAGGATCAAATTTACATTTCAAACACAGCAATGTGATTTTATTTACCACACAGGGATGAAGCAAGTCCCAAGGAAAACAGTCTTCTGAGAGCACAAAAAGTGCTGGGCTGGGCCAGTGTTAGCCCCTAGGCGAGGGACCTTGACATGGGCTGACCTTCCCCGACCTCTGTCCTATGTGTGAACCCTTCACTGATATTGTCCTATCCTCACCCCACCCCCCTATACCACATCCTCAGGAACTCAACTCCACTGCCATTCTAAGGGTATTTGGGTCCCAGACAGATTGACACCCTGTGACCAAGAGTCTGAAAAATTTCTGTCTGCCATCAGTAACTTGAGCACACTGGGGCAAGGTCTGGGGAGTGTGAGGAGAACAGGGGAGCTGCCTTGTGTTAAAGAGGGTGACTGGCAGCATTCACCCAGCTGTCACACCAACCCTGTTGGCTCCCAGCACCCCATTTCCCATGGAATTTATGTTTCTAGATGATTCTGGAAGCAGAGGATTTAGAGGTTGAATGTGTGGCCCTTGGCTGCAGGGAATGCAGCAGCGTTTTCAGAATGGCACTGTATAACAGCTGCTTTCCAATGTCCCACCTCAGAAACAGGGCCTCATCACTGTGGAGCAGGCTGAGTACCAGGCCAAAAGCCAGGGAAGTGGGGGTGAGCCCTGCCAACCCTGTTGCAAAGAGGAAGCACCTTGTAAGCAGGAGGCCTGTACTATGTCAGATTTACCTTTGAAATCATCAAATTCATGACTCGTGTGGTCATGAAATTTTTATTGCACATACTTCCTGAGAAATTTAGCCTGCCAGGAAATATCACCTTGGCCACATCCTCAAACATTCGCCACTAAGGACATTTATTTCACCCCCACAGTAATCTGTCAAGCATATAAGTCTGGGTAAGGTGTCATCCAGGAAACAAGGAAGCCACAATATGTCCTCTGTGATTCAAGGCATCACCTGTCAGTCCTATGTCATATAAGCATGCTTGGAAAGGGCACACTGTTGGCCCCTCTGGGTTAGCCAACAGGCCCACAGCACATTCTGGTGCCAAGTGCAATCACTGGCTCTTCATGTTGGGGAAGCAGCAGCCTTACTAAGTCTTAAAGCATGTGGTTTGGTTTCCTATAAAGTGGGTAGATTGTTTGCATTACCCAATAACTGATGAAATCTGAGAACATTTTACAAGCCTGGGGGCGGGGAGGACCCAGGGGAAAAGGGAGGTGAAGGGCTCCCCTCTTAGCTCAGTGAGGAATTGGTGCTTTGTGACGTCATGCAGGTTTGCAGCTGGGCCTGTTCTGCAGTGAATGGGATTGGAAACTACCCGTGTTCTTTCCCACCTGTCCCAGCCAAACGCAAAAAAGTGGTGTACTATGAGAGTCAGAGCTTTGTGGGACGGGAGCAGGCAGAGGACTCAGGCAGCCCACCCTGGCCGGCCTCTTATCCTGCAGCCCAGAATATACAAAGTTACACCTGCTTCCCAGACAGGAGTCACACAGCTGCACACAGGAGGATTTTCAGGTGCTAAGGGGTACAGGATTGGCCTGACAGCATCCATACTACCCTTGCCACCCTCTCTTCCTTCTCCTTGAGGCTGGAGAACAGATGTGTGCATCCTACCACCTTCAGAGACCACTATGGGGCTAGGCAGGGGCAGACTCAGCTTGAGCTGTATTCTTGGGGAAGGGTGGGATCCTAATTTTCTGGTCTGGTCCGTGTGAATCTCCAAGCCCAGGGCTGACTGAAACGCAGCCACACCATAATCCTTCTAAGTCTATGGCATTCTGGGAAGCCACAACTACACAGAATAATCAGGTGCAGGGGGCCTTCCCAGTGTCCAAGGTTAGAGTGGCTGCTGAGTGTACTTAAGGACAGCATAGAATTTGCAGGATGAGGCTGCCATATGCGGTCCCTCAGCCTGGCCTGGAGTAAACAGTGTTCCAAGCAAACAGGTGCATGGGTGCCAAGTGTCAACCCTGGCATGTGTCTTGGGCATAACTCAGGTAACTCCAACTCTGTCCACCTCCAAGCAAAACCTGCCTCCATAGGGAAGGTGTTCATCTAGGGCATCTCTTCTAAATGAGCACCTTGTGCTGCAGTTGATGTTCTGACCACAATGAAGTGACTTGTCTAGAAGCGGCAGCAGCCTCATGTGCTCACGGTTTAGGCCTGCAATGAGCTCAGCTCTTTGAGTTCCTCCTTTGTTGAAGTCCTAAACTCTCACCTGCTTGGCCAGTGCCTGCTGCGACATACCTCACATTTCCAACTCTAAACCAGCAAGTTCTTCTGGCCCTAAGATTCAGACAGGATTCTGCAGCTGACGTGTTGTGTGTTTATTACTTCCTTCCTCCGCAGTCCAAATGTCATGAAAACAAAAAACAGACCCAAAGATGTTTCCTTTCTTTGGAAAGGGGTTCTGGGTCATCTTCTCAGGAAGGAAAGACAGGTACTGTATTCTAACAGATCACCATCACACACACAAAAAATGTCACCCATACCACACTTCCTAACCAGACCTGAATTTCTCCTCAAGGAAAAAAAAAATGAAAACACAGCTCAAGGGCTGAGAGCAGGCTCCAGTGTCCTGGTCTTACCCAGGAAATCTTGGGGGAACACACACACACACACACACACACACACACACACACACAGCTCTAGACAGCTGCCCCCTTTAGTAGGTACTGATGGAGACATTTGGTGACACGGGGTGTACTTGCCTTTATGGTTGTGCTAGGACCCGCGTCATGCAGCAGGGACATTTCAGGGGGGCTATGGGGCAGTCCGTCATCTTCAGAGCTCATGCCAGCATCTTCTGCTCGCTTGGCAGGAAGCCCCCCTGGAGGAGGTGGCCCCAATTTCACATTACACTGGATTTTTAACTAGATCAGGAACAAAGAACATGTACTCTAAGTAATGTCATCGGCAAGCTCTATCAACATATCCTCCTGCTCTAGTTCATTTGTTGGCAGGGGCAGGGGCATGGGGATGGGATATTTTCAACAGCCTTGCACGGGGCAGGGGACTGAACTAGAAGGGCGTGTGCTACCAGCACACATTGCTGAGCTGTTATCCAGAGTGGACATCCAGGGGTGACCTGGTGCATTGAGATGCTGTGATGTGCACTTGACTCTACTCCACCACATCCACCAGAGAGACTCAGCCACAATGACCCAGGAAACGTCTCCAACCACCTCTGCCAGGGGAATGTTTACCTGCAGAGCTTTAATCCGATCACACACGTTCTCCTGGGAAAACACCCGCACAGGTCGAGCTGGGTCCTGTCCCGACTCGGGGATGAAGATGCTGTCATGCGAGAGGGCCCGGCTGCCCATCGGAGTGCCTCTTGATTCCCTAGGAGCAAGGAGCCACTGTGAGACCCAGGCTACCTCCTGTCTCACCAACCCTTGGCTGGGGGCGGGAAGGGAAGGGGGGTTTCTCAGGATGAAAAGGGAGGATTGGAGGGTAAGGAGTAGAAGAGAGGTGGAAAGAGACAGTAAAGGGGCACAGGACTAGCTGGACAGGAGGGATGACGTTGACTATTCTATAGCACAGTAAGGTAACTACACTGGAGAGTAGTTAATTGTATATGTCAATGATCTGGGAGAGAGGCATTTGAAGCAATAAATTATGTCCCCCAGTTAGCCTTATCTCACCCTTATCCATTGTATATATGTATTAAAATGCCACACTTTGTACCCCCTAAATGCCCCAAATAGTGTATGCCAACCATAAGCTGGAAAAAATATATTAAAAAAAATGCTGCTGGTGGGTGATGTTGCCAGTTGGAACACCCACGTCCTGTGTCTGAGGGCCCAGAGTTGAGTCCTGCTTCCTCCACCTCTATTTCTGATCTGGCTCCTGCTAATGTGCCTGGGAGGCACTGGGTGACAGTCCAAATGCTTGAGCCCCTGCCATCCATGTGGGAGACCTAGATGGAGCTCCAGGCTCCTGGTTTTAGTCTGGCCTACTTCTGGCTGTTGTGCATTAATTCAGGAGACAGAGCCAGTAAACAGAAGACCTTTTTCTGTCTCTTTTTTCTGTATTGCTCTTTGAAATACATCAAACAGATAAATAGCTATTTTACAAAAATGAAACCTTACAATAAGCCCTCTGCTTTGTTGAATACCACAGGCCACTCTCAAGGGCACTAGAGACAGAGGAGCGTCCTAAGAGAGCTGCTGGCCAGGTGGTTCTGTTGACATCAAAGACAGGGTTGACAACATGTGAAGTCCAAGGCTGGGGATGTACAGAAAGGAAGAGTGGGCACAGGCCAGGTGCCACAGAGGTTGGGAAAGTTGAGAGCAACAGATCCTGATGGGCTGGAGGTGGAGGCCTGCCTCGTCATGGCATCCTCACAAGACGGTGCAAGAAATGAGAAGGGCAGACCTGCAAGACAGTGCCCTCGCATGGCCTGTTCAAGCCTTCTGAGCTGAGGTTCCTGGGGAACACAGCACTTGCGCCCCATCTTCCAAGCATTCTCTCTAGCCCCAGGGATCTCATCTGGGCCTGAGCCCACAGGCCCTGAAGGTGACGTGGACTAAACTGTCAGACATTGTAAGCAGCTGTGGCTGCCCGAACAATAGGGGGAAGGAGATGACTATGTCTTGATGAAGGAAGAAAAGCTGGCCTCTGCCCACGTTGGACACCGGCCGGGCACCGAGCCCTCCCCCAGGGCTCCCTCCCTGGGCATCCTGTCCTCTGTAGGGGCACTGGGCATTCTGGGGCATGGTCCCACCCTACTGAAGATCAAACTGTTGGGTAAGTGGTGCTTCCTTTTAATTAAACTCTAGCTTGTAATACTAAGCTTGCGAGTGGGCACCCACAGCCCTCAGAGGGTGTGTTCCCACATTTCCGAAAGGGAAACAAGCTAGGCCCTCCCTGCCAGCAGCCACTGCCAGCATTACAATGCTCATGTTTCCACCTGGCTTTTGCTCCAGCAAAGGAATGGCCCACAGCTCCCCCAGAACCCCTAAACCCTTGTTCATGCTTGAGAATCAGGACCGTGGCCCAAACCCCTCCTTTAGGGTGCACTGAGGGCTTTTACCACCCTGAGAGGTCTCCACAAAGACACACCAAGGACAACACAAAGGATGGGAAGCCATCCCGTGTCCTCCAGGAGGTGTCTGAGGAATGGAAATCGTGGAGCATCAGTAGATGGGCAATTCGACCACTGGCCCCGTGGGTGAGATGGCGCTCTAAGACTGAGTGACAGCAGGGCAGAACAATGCCCGTGAGACATCAGTTCTGTAAATGTACAAGCACTCCACAGTTTGCAGAAGATGGACTTAAGAACCTGAGTTTCTTTTGGTGCCGTTCCCCCCCATAATTTGTAGGAAACGTGTATTGTAAAAAATTTGATCTGGAGTTCAACATTGTTTTTGCTCCAAAATCAATTCCTATTTTTTAATTCCACCTTCCCATAAACTTTTTAAAATACTCTCGTACTTTATGAACATATCTGAACATTTATGTGCTTGCTTGTATTTTAAAAATAAAAATGGAAGGATATGTAAATAATAAAAAGTGTTTGCTGGAAAAAAAAATACTTTTTTCAAGGAGAAACAAAGGACAAAGGTCCTTATACTTACACATTTGTCTTTGAAACTATAAATATTTTACATAAACAAAAAACAGAATAAAAAAAGAAAAAAAAACAGCTCTAAAAGTAGAAAACAAGTATAAACAAACCAATCTAATTTTATATCAGGTTGTTGACATAACTACACAGAGAAAGGAATGATGTCAAGTGACTTTATGTTCTCAGCTTTTACTTTTTCTGGATGTTGAAAAATTTGAGAGGCTGGGCCCGGCGCGGTGGCGCAAGTGGTTAAGGTCCTCGCCTTGCACGCCCGGGATCCCATATGGGCGCTGGTTCTATCCCGGCAGTCCCGCTTCCCTTCCAGCTCCCTGCCTGTGGCCCGGGAAAGCAGTCGAGGACGGCCCAAGGCTTTGGGAACCTGCACCCACATGGGAGACCCGGAAGAGGCTCCTGGCTTCGGATCGGCCTAGTATCGGCCGTTGTGCTCACTTAGGGAATGAATCATCAGACGGAAGATCTTCCTCTCTGTCTCTCCTCTGTGTATATCCGCCTTTCCAATAAAAATAATAAAAATAAATCTTTAAAAAAATTTTTGAGAGGCTAAAAGACAGAGACAGAAACTGACAGAGGAAGAGGAAACAAGACCTCCCATCCACTGGCTCATTCCCCCAAATGCCCTCAGTCCAGGCTGAAGCCAGGAGCTGGAAACTAAATCAGGGTCCACCAGCTGTTCCTAGGGTTGGCACTAACAGTAAGATGGAAATGGGAGTAGAACCAAGACTGAAACCCAGGGGCTAGGATATGGCATTCGGGTCTCTAAATTGCCAGGACCAACACCTAGCCTGTACATAACTTTTGACTCTCCATCCTGAAGAAGATACAGTCCAAGAACAACAATAGTAAATAAAAGGATGTCAAGTTGCACCTGCTTCTCCCTTTCATATTAACACTGACACTACAGCAAGACAACAACCCATACTCGGTAGTTTTATTAATTTGGTTCTTGTTTTGATCTGGCCCAGTCCTAACTCTCCTGGCTTTCTGGAGAGTGAACCAATGGATGGAGGATCTCTCTGTAGGTAATTCCGACTTTTAGGTAAGATAAATAAATACATCTTTTTTTTTTTCATAAAGCAAAGGTAGAACATGTTTAGAGTACATAGTCTCTGCTGGAGAAAGAAGATAATGAAATTATTATAGGATAAAGAAAATAAGTAATTGTGGTAACACTATTAAGCTTTTTCAATATAAGAAAAAAAGAATATAAAGAATCAAAAAGGTAAACATTTCCTCTTATTAAACTTGGACTGGAGATGAATGGATGTTTTACTTCCTCAAAAAACAAAACTTATTTTTAATTATATCCACTGGGAAGGTCTAGAAACAAAGTCAGCCTCCCAGTAATGATCACCTCTGGCAGCCAGACTTACAGTCTTTAAACTCCATTCCACATTATTCAGAAGGAACCAGGTTGGAGAACAAAGACCTGATTCGTTTGGGGTGGGCAATATACAAAGGAAGCCCAGGAATTCCCAGCAGGCCAGAAAGCAAGGAAGCTTTGGAGGCAAGTGTGCTCATGAGAAAGGAACCAAGAGTCAACATGAAGTCACCTTCAGGGGCCAAAGAAGGGACAATGTGAGCACGGACAGGAGTCACAGCAATCATGGGTTAACACAAACCAAGTGCACAGAAATCAGCAAGTCCACAGTGACACATGAGGAGACAAAAACAAAGAAAGAACAAAAGTGTCATTAATAATTATGGGGAGTTGCTATGGTACCAGGTCATCACTCTGAGGACAAATCAATAAAGGAAGATCCACACATTGTTCTGTCTGTCCCGTGCAAACTGTATTTCAGTGCCCCCCAAGCAGTGATGAAGAAAAGCTCTTTGTCATGGGAGAAATCTAGTTAGCAAATGTGAAATAATGGCAGAATTACAAAAATCCTCGTTTTTGCAAAGTGATTACAGATCACATCGACAGTTCCCCAAATCCCAGCTATGACTCTTGTGGGTTTTCTTTTTAGAAAGGTATTTATTTCAAAGGCATGCTCTCGCTCTCTCTCTCTCTCCCCACTGGTTCACTCTCCCAATGCCTGCCAGAGCTAGAACTGGGCCTGGCTGAAGCCAAGAAAGAGCCCACAACTCAGTCCGGGTTTCCTATGTGAGCAGTGGATATCCAAGTACTTAAATTGCCACCTGCTGACCTCTAGCATGCCCAGTAGCAGGAAGCTGGAATCAGAAGTGGAGTTAGGACTGGAGCAGAACGGCTTGGTTTTAGTTTCACTAGAAGGTGCACAGCCAGACTGCACAGGTCTCCTGGTGTGATGGCACAGGACACACCCATCACCATCTTAAACCTACATCCAACAAAACATCCAGATCCAGCTATGTGTTTATGGGAAATGGAGAGACACAGGCACGTATGTCCTCCACTCAAATGCCCTAAGAGAAAGCAAATCCGAACTCCGGGATGCTTCCAGTGCAAAGGGTTTTGCTCCTGCCAGGGATCAGTGACACAAAACAGAGGGGTGAGTCACCTGTAGATTGAGAGGCTGACGACATGTGACCACACAGAGAGTGACATGACAAGTGGAGATTGATTTTTAAAACCCACAGAGCCCCAAGTGGTCTGGCAGCCCCAGTGAACGTCAGCAGGCAGAACCACTGTGCCCACAGCCATGGATGAGAAGGAGCTGCACACGTCAGAGGCACGCAGAAGGAGGCCTCTGTGCTTTGGGCTCGACTGTGCTGCTTCCAGAAAATGCTATGTGCCTTAACAGCCCATTGCTGATCTTTCTTTCTTAGTGATCTCCCAGAGACAGGGTGTATGTGTATGTGTGTACCTGTATGTGGAGGAGACTGTGTGTGCATATGTATATTGGTATGCGTGTACACCTGAATGAGGAGGGGACAGTGTGTGTGTGTGTGTGTGTGTGTGTGTGTGTGTGTGTGTGTGTGTGTGTGCGCGCGCGCGCGCGCGCACGTGCCTGTATGTGGAGAGGCCTGGGCAATCTCCCGCGGGCTGGACTGCTGATGACACTGAAACATTAGTGTTCTCAAGATAGCGTCTCACTCCCTGAGCATTTGGAACATTTTGCTTGTAAAACTGTGTACACAACTCCCCACTTGGAGCAGAGAAAACAAAAAAAAAAAAAAAAAAAAAGGAAAATCCTCTTTCCTTTTCGGTCCTTTGGCGCCACCAAGCGGTCAGTGTAATTCCTACTCCTTGAACAAGAGGTGAACAGGAAGATGGAGCAGAGGGGACAGGATGCCAACACTGGGTTGTTCGAGTGTCAGACGGTATCACCCTGTGGTCTGTACCCCAATTTCGAATGACATAATGCACTGCAAAGTTTTGTCCTAAAAAATCCCAAGCTGTTAAAGATGTAAATGTTGGCAAAAAAAAGAGAAATATCTTTTTCCTTTTGGTCTCAGAAATGTTGGGATAATGCAGCATGTGTATTGAAACGATATTTTGATGTAATGCAAGTTACAAAAGTAAGGTTTTCTTCACTCAGTTCCCCAAATTTTTACGCCTGTTGCGACTGTTCTTCTGTATGTCATTTTGGGATGATTTTTCTAGGACTAATCAGCAAGAGGGCTTTCCCCACCCCTGCCCCTCTCCTTCTTATGTCTCTTTGAAAACACTGGTATGAAATTACTCACAGTTGCTTCAATTTCAGAAAAATGTGCTTTTCTAGCACAACATCCAGGTTCCTACGAGTCTAAAGGCAAATGAAACTATTCTAAGCCTGCTACTTTCAGGGGAAGGATGGTGGGTACACTTCAGATCTCCCCTAAGATTCATTTTCACTCATTCATAAAGGGCTATTTCAAAAATCTGTGGCAAAAAGGAATTAAAAAGTAAAGTTAATTTGGTTATACATAGGGGTTTTTAAATATTTGTCTATTTATTTGAAAGTCAGGATTCGATTGGAGAGAGAGAGAGACAGAGAGACAGAGAGAATATGTTCCACCCACTGGTTGAGTCTCCAGATGTCCACAACCACCAGCCCTGGGCCAAGCTGCAGCCAGGAGCCAGGAGCTTCTCCCAGGTCTCCTATGTGGGTGCACTTTGGTCATCTTCTGCTTCTTTCCCAAGTGCATGAGCAGGGAACTGGATAAGAGGAGGAGCAGCTGGGTCTCAGACGTGCCTATACGGGATGTCAGCACTGCAGGCTGTGGCTTTACCCGCTATGTCACGCTGCTCCCCCTGCCCCCTGCTAACCCCACCCCAACTCCCCAATGTGTACTTTTTTTAATTTCCATTTTCATGAACTCCCTGAAGTCCTGCATGTGCAGTACTACTTCTACCAATGCCATTGTGAGTTTTCCTTTTCACAGCAGCTACCAAACCATGTTTTTCCCCAGGTTTTTCCATCCCTCTCTGTTGGAAAAGACAGAAAATAAAACTTGTGTGGAAGACCCTCTGGACCAAATGAATTACCTAGAAGGCAAAAAAGACCCAGAAATCCTGCAAGTTCACAAGACAATGAAGTAAAGCACGTGGGTCCTCCTGCACCGGGAGTCCTCTCCTTGGCACGGCTCAAGGATGGAAGGACGGAAGGGAAAAGTACTTACTCAAGTTCATCCTCGGATTCGTAGCCCACGGGTCCCGACTCGATGGCAATGACCTCACTCTTGGCCTGACTTTGCTTCCAGGCGCTACTGCCCGTGGACGAAGGAGATTCTTTCCGCTTCTTCTTCCCAAAGAACTTCTTAAAAGTTTTGAATTTGGATTTTTTCTTTCCTAAATAGATGTTAAACACGACAACAAAATAAGGCTGTGAGTGCACAGGCGTGCACACAGTGGTGAGATGCGCACATGAAAAACTACTTCACACCGTAGTTACTAACTCCAGCAAATTATCTCTACCTTCTGGAAGTACATCATATGCCAGTTTCACACTCTTGGAAACAAACCCAGATCTCAGCTTATTGACATCTGAGTAGCCAGGCCAAGGATGTCTTAAAACATGGTCACCCAATCAATATACACACAACTTTCCTCTCATGTGAAATGAAGCTTTAATATCACACACACACACACACACACACATATATATGATTAAAGGATAGTCAGAGGGTCAGAGGGGAGCTGGCCTCAAGCTGGCAAGAGGTGGCTGGCTAGAATATCAGATGCCACCATGAGCTATCAATTCCTGATAACCAAAAACTCCAAACCATGATGATCTCCTGAGTGGGAAGGTGTGCCCAGGCTGAGCCTTATTCAGCCACACTTCCTGGATTATTAGAACTTTCCTTATTAAAAAAAAAGCACACACTTTATTCATTTATTAATTTATTTAAAAAGCAGAGTGGCAGTAAGGAAGAAATGGAAATCTTCCAATTGCTGGTTCGATTCCCAAATGTCTATAACAGCTAAGGCTAGACCGGGTCAAACTCAGAAGCCTGGAACTCCATCTGAATCCCCACCACGTGGATGGCTGGGAACCAAGTACTTGGGGCCACCATCTGCTGTCTCCCAGGCATATCAGCAGGAAGCTGGATCAGAAGTAGGGGCAGGACTCAATCCCAGGGATGTGCGCAGAGGCTTACTTAGTCACACCACAATACTCAGCCCATGAACTGCTATAATTTATGAGGCTTTTTAACATTTTGTAATCACTTCTCTTGTATCACCTTCATTTCCATACCCAGATTCTGTCACATTTAGGACTCCACAGCTTCATTTTAGCAGGTCAGCATCATTCCTTTCCTTTGGCACACTGACAAGAACTGATAATGGGAGTCAGTAAAGTGAGGCAAGAGGTAAGCCACTGCCTGCAACACTGGTGTTCCACATGAGTGCAAGTTTGTATCCTGGCTGCTCTGTTCCTGATCCCTCCCTGCTAATGTGCCAAATTACCCCAATGCTTGGGACCCACCCGAGGCTCCTGGCTTTGGCTTGACACAGCACTGATCATCGAACCAACATATGGAAGATCTCTTTCTTTCTGCAACTGTCTTCGAAATAAATAAATAAATAAATAAATAAATCTTTAGAGAATTGATAGTAGAAGTATTCAAAATGACTGTCTAATGCATGCTGAAAATTTACTAAAAACAATTTAGCTAAAGTAGTTTGCTTCTACATAATTTAATAAACTGAATTCCTTTCCAAAAAACCTAGAATATTTACATTTTGCTTGCCTGAGTGTCCCCTTGGGTAACTGGCATGATCTCGTGTTCATGTGCATAATCCTTAGTCACCCTAGAAGTTCCTACTCACTTTGGGCAGAGCCGGTCCCTTGTTAAAGGGATGTGAGTTGTACAGGAAAATTTCCTTACAAATGAAACTTATCTAACTTTGATCATCAAAAATTTCTTATGTTGGGCCCGGCGCGGTGGCGCAAGTGGTTAAGTCCTCGCCTTGCACGCCCGGGATCCCATATGGGCGCCGGTTCTAATCCCGGCAGCCCCGCTTCCCTTCCAGCTCCCTGCCTGTGGCCTGGGAAAGCAGTTGAGGACAGCCCAAAGCTTTGGGACCCTGCACCCGCGTGGGAGACCCGGAAGAGGCTCCTGGCTTCGGATCGGCATAGTATCGGCCCGTTGCGGCTCACTTGGGGAGTGAATCATCGGATGGAAGATCTTCCTCTCTCTCTCTCCTCTCTGTATATCCGCCTTTCCAATAAAAAATAATAAAAATAAATCTTTAAAAAAAAAAATTTCTTATGTTGTTAATAGACAGTTTTCAAGGAAGGATAATAAGCTTTGATAATTAGTTTGAAGAAAGTCTTCGTTTTGTTCAGGAAAGCCCCTAGCCTTTTTGCCTGCTTCACCAACTGGTACACACTCCTGGAGCTTCACCATCTTGACACAGGCCCCGTCCATGGCACAGACAACGTGGAGAGCAGCATGGCTCCCAGCTCCCGAGTGTGACTGTTCAGCTTGCAGCGGTCGCCAGCAAATGTCTACATCCTGCTTCTCTTCCCGCTAGGCCTCGTAATCAGCCTTCACCGACAGTCACAGGAACGCTCTGCTTTCTACTTCTTGACTTTTTTAATTAAGTATATTTTACCAGGAATTATTCTTCCCCCAGTTTCTAAATGTACTGGCAAAAATTATGAACATCTCCTTCATGTCATGGCTTCGGCAGCAGTGGAGTGATGCTTGTGTCTCAAGCATGGTGTGAGTTTTGCCTCATTCCCATACTCTGCCTATTTCTGGCCTTGATCAGTTGCACCAGAAGTTAATCAAACTAGCTGCCTGGGGAAAAGTCTAGTGGCAGGGGTGTGCTCCAACAGTCAAGATGCCGGCTGGGATGCCACAGTCCGCATTAGTGGGGCATTTTGGTTCAAGTGCCATCTCTGCTTCAGACTCCAGCTTCCTGCTAAGGCAGCAGGTGGTGGCTCAGGTACTTGAGTCCACCACCTATACAGGAGACTAGGGTTGAGTCCCAGCTGTTGTAGGCATTTGGGAAGCAAACAAGCCAGCGACGGCCGTCTCCCCTTTTCTGTTTCTTAAACTAAACTAAACTAAACTAAACTAAACTAAACTAAACTAAACTAAACAACCAAGTGAAATTTGGCTTCATTATTTATCTCCACTGAATGCTTATTTTATGTTCTATTTGTTTCTGTCCTTAGGTATACTTTTTTCTTTCTTCTTACTTCTTTGGATTTGCTCTGCTTTTTAAAGTTTTTGGAACAAATACTTCACTTTTTAACTTTTAAAATCATACATACACTTAGGACAATATATTTGCCTCTAAATGTGTTTTAAGTGCATCTAATTGCCTTGACAGGTAGCATTTTCATTAATACTTGGTTAAAATTATTTTTCTGGGCCCAGTGTAGTGGCTTAAGTCCTTGCCTTGAATGTGTCTTCCCTTACGGAGACAGTTCTAACCTCGACAGCTCCACTTCCCATCCGGCTCCCTGCTTGTGGCCTGGGAAAGCAGTTGAAGACGGTCCAAAGCCTTGGGACCTGGAGGAGGCTCCTGGTTCCTGATCCATGCAGTTCCAGGTGTTGCAGCTACTTGGGGAGTGAATTGGCAGATGGAAGATATTCTTCTCTGTCTCTGCTTATCTCTGTAGATCTGACTTTCTAATAAAAAAAAACTCTTGAATCTCTAATATGATAATCTCTTAGGTCTGTGAGTTATTTTTAAAAGTATGTTGCTATCTTTTTTTTTAAAGATTTATTTTTAAAGATTTATTTATTTTTTATTTTTTCATTGGAAAGGCGGATATACAGAGAGGAGAGACAGAGAGGAACATCTTCCATCCAATGATTCACTCCTCAAGTGAGCGCAACGGCCGATGCCATGCCGATCCGAAGCCAGGAGCCTCTTCCGGGTCTCCCACGCGGGTGCAGGATCCCAAAGCTTTGGGCCATCCTCGACTGCTTTCCCAGGCCACAAGCAGGGAGCTGGAAGGGAAGCGGGACTGCCAGGATAGAATCGGCGCCCATATGGGATCCTGGGTCATGCAAGGCGAGGACCTTAACCACTTGCGCCACCGCACCGGGCCCCAGTATGTTGTTATCTTAAAGACCTGGAATTTTCTAATTTTTGTTACTGACTTGTAGCTTAACCACATTTTAGTCAGAGAACAGATTCTATGATCTGAATACACTAGAAAATCTTCCATCCATCAGTTCACTCCCAGACAACAGCTGCAGCTGAGCCAATCTGAGGCCATAAGTTTCCAGGTTTCCTGCGTGGGTGCAGGGTCCCAAGCTTTGGCCTGTCCTTGACTGCTTTCCCAGGCCACAAGCAGGAAGCTGGATGGGAAGTGGCGTAGCTAAGACATGAACTGGTACCCATATGGGATGTTCGTGCTTGCAGGTCTAGAATTGGCCAATTGAATCATCAGGCCAGCCCTGGAATGATCTTTCTTTAATAGTCAGTAATTCCAAAGAACAAAAGGCATATAAGATCTTTGACTTGTTTTTATTAATCCAACCGTTGTTATGGGAATGTAAGTGGAATGATAATATTAGTTGTTTCATTTAAAAATTAAGGAATTACTGGGTTATATTTTTATAGTTGTGAATAGGTGAATCTTAAATTAAGGATTTAGGAAAGTTGTCTGTGAATGGATAGAAAAAGAGTTACCTCGTGGCCAGCACTGGGTTCCAATTCTGCCTGCTCCACTTCCAATCCAACTCCCTGCTGATGGCCTGGGAAAGCAGCAGAGGATGGCCTAAGTGCCCAGGCCCCTGCCACCCATGTGGGATTCCCAGAAGAAGCTCCTGGTTTCTGACTTTGGCCTGGCTGAGCCCCAACTGTCTGGGGAGTGAACCAGTAGAGTCTCTGTCTCTCCCTGTCTCTCTGTAATAACTTTGACTTTCAAATAAATAAGTCTGGAGAGAGAAAAAAATATCTTGGGAGCACTAGAGAAAAGGCAGGCAGTATAGCCATCCATCAGTTGCACTCAAAAGTTTGCAGTAAAAATGCATTACTAGAAATAAAGAGGGATATTTCACAGAAGTTTCAATTTCCCCAGAAGAATCACAATTTGATTCTTCTACGCGCCAACTTCATGTCGAAAGTTACAAAGTGAAATTGATAGTTAAATATAAAATCTTCAATCAGAACGAACACATCTCTACCAGTGACTGATAGAAAAAAACTTTTTTTAAGTTGGTAAAGAGTTAAAATGCTTGTGTAGTACAATTAGAAAGAAAAGGGTCATGTTTTCATTGACATGTACATAAATTTTAACAATATGCACTGTTCTGGGGCTGGTGTATGGCTCAACTGCCTAACCCTCTGCCTGCAAGCGTTGTCATCTGGCTCATGTC